TATTTGTTAAATTTTTAATTTTATGTTTTTTTAATCAATAATTTTTTTCCTCTAATTTGCATTTATCAATTTTTTAATCCAAAGTCATATTATGACCCAAAAAAAGACACATGGTAAGGTACTGGGCTTCTCTTGTGCTTGGTTTTGGATGGATAATGGAATAATTTAATGAATTGAACAAATTGGCAGCAAGTCAAAATGGATAGACAACCCCATTACAAGCTTAAAGGGTAAATTTGTAAATTTAAAATTAATTTAAATCCTTCCCTTCCTTCCCTTCCTTTTACTTTAATTATCCAAACATAAAATAATACAATCCTTCCCTTCCCTTCCCCTTCCTCATTTTTATTTACCCAAACAAAATTAACACAAATCATTTCCTTTCATTTTCTTCCCTTCCCTTTCTTTTCCTCCCCCTCCATTTCCTTTTATTTTCCCCCATCCCCCTCCCTTCCCTTCCCTTTACTATTTTCTATCCAAACAAGCCCTCAGGGTGAAAGATGCAAACAGGTTCTGAAGAGAACGCGAGAAAAGTGGTGACTGCTGCGAGTTGGATTCAAATGAGGGGTATAATAGTCAAATACTTAAAAAAGGTGCGGTGTTAACAGTTGTGACTGTGGCAATAGCGCCACCCGCAGGACAGGAAGGATTTAGAGGCAAAAACCTACCTTTAGCCTCTCACCTTACTAAATTTGAAAGTTTTAACTCTTTATCTTATTCTATAACACTTTAACCTCTTATCTTACTAGATTTATAGGTTTTAGTCCCCTCACTTATTAAAATAAAAAAATAGCCCTTATTTTATACTAACTGTTAACTCTGTTAGTTGGAAGTAGATTTTTATCAACTAAATAGTCAAGTAATAGTCAATTAACAGAATTAACGAAATATTATAAAATTAGTTCTATTAATTTTGTTAGCTAAAAGAAGGTTTTTGATAGCTAACAGTCAACTAACAGTCAGCTAATACAATTAACAGTTAGTTAATAAAATTAACAAAATATTACAAAATGAGGACTATTTTCTTCAATTTTAATAAGTGAGAGGTTAAAAGTGTCATAATATAAGGTGAAGGGTTAAAACTTATAAATCCAGGGTAAGAGATTAAAAATATCATAATATTTGCTATGAGGTTAAAATCTTCAAACTTGACAAGATGAGAAGCTAAAAGTAAACTTTTGCCGGATTTAGAAAACTAAAAGGTTATCATGTTATATAGCCGATCATGTAAAGGAAAATAAAAAAAAAA